GTTCGTAAATGTGGGTCATAAATACATGAAAGTTGTGGTATGTTAGGCCTGCCGCCTCTACAAGTATTTGAGATATAACCGTTAGAACCACCACCCCCTCTTTGTCTTAAAGTATGCTAGATATAAACTCTGTCAAAAAAGAAACGCAACCCCTGTATTTTAGAGATTTTGATCTGAAGTTTTAGGACGACACGGCATTTTTATTATTTAAGACAGAAGTCTGAAATTTGGCAGAATAATAACCCAGATGGGCATGTTTAAAATTGTCATTTCAAAAGTCATCTCACAGACACCAGTTTGTCACCAGGGGGGCGTCTTTCTCAGTATCTCGTATGAGCACCACGCGCTGCAATCACTGCACGGCATCTCCTTGGACAAGAACGGATAAGACGCCGGATTCTTTCCTGGGGAATGGCTCTCCACTCCTCCTGCAGTGCAACGGCGAGCTGTTGCAGCGTCTGTGGCGGCGGCTGACGTTGACGTACGCGTCGATCCAGAGTATCCCACAGGTGTTCAATAGGGTTGAGGTCTGGTGATTTAGAGGGTCATGGCAAGACATTGACGTTGGAATTCTGCAGAAAGTTCATTGTTGCACGTGCAGTATGAGGTCGGGCGTTGTCCCGTTGAAAAATCTGTGTCTGTTGGTCAATAATCGGGAGAAGGTGAAGCTCTAACACGTGGTTGATGTAACGTTGGGCTGTCAGGTTCCCTGGAACGATCACCAAGTCTGATTTCTGGTTGTATGAGATGGTTCCCCAAACCATGACGCTTTCTCCGCCAAATCTGTCCACCTGTCGGACGCAGATGGGCGCAAAACGTTTATGACGTCTCCTATACAGACGCTGTCTTCCGTCGTGACGTTGCAAAGAAAACGTGATTCATCAGAAAACCAGATTCGCCTCCAGTTTTGTAAAGTCCGTATCCTTACGTTGTTGCACCACCTGAGTCGTCGGCGTCGATGTAGGGGGCGTAGTACAGGTCCAACAACTGGTCTACAGGCACGTAAACCCGCTTCTTTCAGACGGTTCCTAATCGTTTGAGCTGACACTCTCCTCAAACCTGGTATTTGTGTGGCAGTCACGGTTGGTAGGGCATGCCGATTACGCAGGTGATGGACCCGGATGTACCGATCTTGAAGGGGGGTCGTGATTCTTGGCCTTCCACTTCTCGGGCGATCGTTGGTCAAATTGAAGTTGTTGTAGCGGCTCCAAAGTCGGGATATCGTTGTTTTGTGAACATTTAGGTGCCGTGCAACAGTTCCAAAACTTTCTCCGGCTTGAACACGACCAATGGCGATATTTCGGTCGGCAGCACTCAATCGTGGCATTTTAACACAGCTTTTCGGCGACAAATGATTGAATATAATACGGAAGCACATGGGCTTTTATACACCCCTACATTAACTGCCATTTTCATGATTTGCATGTGTTTTTTTTGTGCGAAGTCACCATGAGGGTCATTTCATGCGTTGTGACGGAATAAGCAATAAAATACACTTATGCGTACAAATGCAGTTGTTTGGATGGTAATCTTCATTAATTACGTGTATCATTTCAATACATTCGAATAAAATTTAGTTTGGAAGCAATACCTTCATTCAAACGAATTTTTCATATCTGAGGACAGGGGTTGCGTTTCTTTTTTGACAGAGTTTATAACCGTTAGAAAACAGCACACCACTTTTCTTCTCATTTATTCAATTTAGCTAAATCATAATTGAGAGTTGCTTCTATGGATTTTACATATTTTCCCGCAACACCAATTGATGTGTGTGTCATCGGCCAATATTATTATGATATTTTGTAAATTTCCAGGTAAATCATTGATATATACAAGGAACACAAATTAACCACGGACAGACTCTTGAGGAACCCCTGCAGTAACATTTAGTTCTTTTGATAATGTTCTTTTGAGACACACTGTCATCTATCAGATAGATAGTTAGTTAACCAACTAAGTACGTTTCCACGAACACCATAATTTTCTAATTTGTGCAATAAACCTTTATGCCATGCCCCGTAAAAAGCTTTTGAAATATCACAAAATAGCATACAGTAAAGGTGGTGATTATCTAGGACTGAGCATATATTATGATAAATGTCTATGTTGAGATGTAGTAGAATGACAAGCAGTGAAACCTGACTGGAATTTACTTAAAATGTTATGTGCACATGCTTTACCATTATTCTTTCAAGGATTTTCCCAAGGATAGATAATAAACTAATAGGTCTGTAATTGGTTGGGAGGGATGTATCTCCTTCTTTCAAAACAGGAGTAACATTACCCATTTCCACATTGTAGGAAATACAGTTACTCAGTGATGCTAGTATATTATACAACAAACTAAGAGGTTCAGCTATAGATGTACAAATTCGTTTTAACACTCACACTTTAATGCCATCAGGTCCACTAGATTTGTTTGCTGGTAAGGTCTTAATCATCTCAGATACCTCCTTTTCGGTTACAGTGACATTTGTTATACTGTTAACACAGCGATGGCTAACAGGTGGAAAAGTCTTGCCGCCATCAGTAACATTTGAAACAGATACAAAATATTCATTTAGTGTTTGAGCTTTATCCAAATCTGTAAAAACTGAAGGTATCCCAGATCATCAGTGACAAGAGGGGGAATGGGTCCCTATGAAGTAGCAACCACCTGATTAAGTAGACTGAGGTGATAAATAGTTATAAAAATTAGATATAAAGTTTTCCTTGGCTATTCTTTTCAGATTATTTACTTTATTCCTTTGCTTTTTGTATTTAAATAGTTCAGAAGTATTCAGAGATCGATATGTTTTTTTCCTTAGACGTTCTCTTTTCTTTTAAGCATGTTACGAGGGGCGTTGAAAAAGTAGTCAAACTAACTATATTATCGATGTCCAATTGTTGAAAAAAGCTTCCATTTTATTTTGAAGGAATCATCATGTGGGTAATGTGGTTAACGAGATATTAGTCATCACAACATTGGGGTATAATGTTTCTTGCAAATTTGCAGAAAATGGAAAACGATCTGCAATTTGGTATCTAGTAATAGTCCGCTTATATGGCGCTCACATCCAGGCACATTACCTGCTCACGGCGCTACGTACATTACTATCCCCGATCAAAGGATACTATCGTACTTTCCGATACTTTTTCAACTCCCTGGGGATCATACAGCCATGCTGCATGTTAGGCGCAATGAACTAAACACTCACATTGCCAGCACATACTCACGGGTACACATTTTACAGCTGGGTGAACTGAGACAGTGTGGATATAAGTATCTTGTCCAAGGATACTACGCAAATGTGCCCATCCCGGGACCCGAACCTCGGTGCCTCCTCGAAACCGGGCCTTTAGCGTGATAGGCAGACGCCTTACCACTGCACTATTGCGCTATCTCTTGGATAATGGTATGCCCTCAGATAATATCATATAAAATATGTTCAGCATAGTATTGGATGACTTCCCGACATCATCAACATTCAAAGATTTCGATTGCTTGATTTATATTTAGATGGAACTTTTTTTTAGGACACCCTCATTTTAAGTTTTCAAAAACATTGTGTCCAGATATACAATATATTGAGAGCTGACACTTATGTGACCATTCAGTATTTAGTTTGAACCCTTGACATCATGTATGAATAGTGAAAACTTTAGGATGAGTTATATCCTTATGATGGCGTCAACTGAAAGGGGGTCGGTAGTGTCTCCAAAACAAGCCCTTTCAGTAACTATCAAGGGGGAGTCACTTGAACAATTATAGTTTCAAATTGTTCAAATTCAGTTTAATATCTAAGTTTGACTTTTACCAACATACAACATGCTTCTTTCATATTTTGTTCCGGTTGGTGTAGTGGGATTCCCGCCAATACACCTTGATATAAAATTGGATCAAAATCTATTAATTCTTTTCTGAGTTCGCGGCTACCAAGCTTGGCATGTGCAAAACTGTTACACCTTCGCTGTGACCTTTAAAATGACCTGAAGGTCACTAAATTCAATCCTGTCGGTAAAACTCGTCAATAAACCTTGGTACCAAATTTGAACAAAATCCATCATTTCTTTCTCGAGTTCTTTCAGTAAACAGAAGGGGGGAGCCATTTGAACAAGCGATTGTAGTTTCAAACTGCTTTTTTGTGCAGTTTAATATCTAAGTTTGATTCTAGCCGACTTCTACCAATCTCAAACATACAAATATATTTCTTGTATATTTTTTTTCCTGAGGTTTGTGATGCATTTTATTGCATGTTTTACGTTTTTTGGAGTACCAAGCCAAGATACAAAGTCACACAAAATGGGGATCATGAGGCTGCAACATAGCAAAACCAATTTGCTTAAGGCTGACAGATTATATGTAGAAAACTAAAACATAAAAACAGCTGCATTTGTATCATATTCTAGGTGAGGCTGACTATTTTTTGAACGTCCCTCGTAGATATACCCGTTATAACACCCACCCACCCCTCCGACTGAACATGCATGTAAGTGTGTTAGATATACCCGTTATCTCAAGGTCACTCAATTTCACTTGTGTCGGTGAATCTCGCCAATATACCTTGGTACCAAATTTGAACACAATCCATCATTTCTTTCTTGAGTTATCGCCCTAACAAGCTTATATGATGTATGAAATGCAACGAAAAACAAACACACGCGTATTTACGAGTGATTAAAACTGTTATTACAATTTACGTAAATATTTATTACATTTTACCGCAACTAAAACGATTACAATTTACGTCAATTGTTATTATAATTTACGTTTTTATTACAATTTACGTCAAGTTTATTACAATTTGCTGCAAGTATTACAATTTGCGTTTTTATTACAATTTACGTCTTTCTTTGCTCACATGTTATTTTCCCCAAGTTACGCCAAACTGTATATGACAAGTGAGTGAGTTGAGTTTTACGCCGCACTCAGCAATATTCCAGCTATATGGCGGGTATATGACAAGACCGACAAGACCGACAAGGCTGACTGGGTGACTTGTGGCACATCATGGCAAAGCAAGGATTCTGCATTACATTTTCTGCATCTGAGAACCTAATTATTCCGTTTAACGTTCATAGACATCAACATGAAGTATGGCAGCTCTGTCATTTGCATCAGCGTTTTGCTACCTCTAATCAGCGGCGAGATGAAAGTGGTAGACCTTACCTGGGCCCACAAGAAAGGCATACCCGAGTGGCCAGACAAGGGAATTCCAAAATTCAAGTTAACCATTGGAAATCGTGGCTTCCTCGCCAAGCTCTGGTAGGTGTTTTGTGATATTTTTGTCACGGTTGAAAGTGGGATAAAATCCTTTGGGCTGACAAAGTCGATTTGCTAGTCATCAAGTCAGTGAGTGAGTTCAGTTTTTCGGCAATATTCCAGCAATATCACGGCGGGTGACACCAGAAATGGGCTGCACACAGTGTACCCATGTGGGGAATCGAACCCGGGCTTTCGGCGTGACGCGCGAACGCTTTAACCACTAGGCTACCCCACCGCCTCCCTGGTCATCAAGAGATGAATATTATGTATGCAGCTGTTCAACAGCTTCAGCTTCTAAAAGCGGCGTAAAACTAAACTCAGTCAGTCAGTGCGAGTTCGATTCCCGGTTCGCCCCGCTTACCTATCTAGGTTGTCTGCACCGTAGTCCGTGCTGGTGGTGAGCGGCAGTTTCTTAGCGCTCACAAAAAGATTACTCGCCGAGATATACCTGGAAAATATTGATCACATGTCATTTTTTTCTCGTCCACAGGCAAGAATTCAACTGGTTTGTTACCCCCGAACACGCAGGAACGCATTTCGATTCCCCCGCCCACTTCGCCAAAGGTAAATGGAGGGCGCATGAGATTCCGCCCGAGCGTCTGATTGGTCCAGCGGTGGTTATCGACGTGACGTCACAAGCAGAAAGGGATCACGATTACAGAGTAACAAAGTCTGACTTCGACAGGTACGAACGAGAGCACGGTCGAATCCCACACGGTGCCATTGTACTCATGAATTCAGGTTGGGGCGCCCGTTTTCAAGACAAGAAACTTGTTTTCAACAGCGAGAAGGTCGACGACCCCTCTACTTTCCATTTCCCAGGTTACCACGAGGACGCCATTTCCTGGCTGTTGACCAATAGAAAAGTCAGTATGGTTGGGGTCGACACTCCCTCCTTGGACTACGGGCAGTCGACGACCTTCAGAGTTCACGTGCTGACTGGAGAGAACGGAATTATCGGACTGGAAAATGTGGCTAACATTGACCAGATTCCAGTCTTCGGGGCCACAATATTTGTAGGAGCAATGAAGGTGTTCGACGGAAGTGGCGGACCTGCCCGAATTATAGCGACCTTTGACCCGCTTGTTTCCCACGAGTACAGGGCAACGTGGATTGTTGTCATAGTTACCAGTGTATTGTTCGGTATATATGGTATCTATGGTATATATAGCACGTGTTTCGGGATACAGAGAGTAGGTGCGAGACATACTGAATAAATTGTTAGGAGACGAGGGATCATGTTTAATTATTCGTTTAAGGGAGTTACACTGAATCTGGGATAAGTTGTAGTGTGACCAAAAGTTTCCAGTTGAGACGTGTGAATATGGTACACGGGTTGAGGTAATTAACATAACGGTATTTTTTTATCGTGACAATGCCAGTTTATATTTAGTTTCTATATTTCTGTTGAGTATACTCAACAGAGAAAGTTAAGGACCACCCCAATATTCAATATTACTTTAATACTGAAAATTGGGGTGGTCAATACATATTCTTTGTTAATTATAATATTGTTTGCTTGTGTCTGCATTACATTGAACATAAAAACCCTGTTGTAAAGATGTGTGTTGGTCGCCTTTTACATGCAGGAGATCCGTGAAGATCCGGGTTAGAATTGGTCTTCAGCAACCCATGCTTGTCGTAAAAGGACTTGGTTGAGTCATCGTATCCCAGTCCCGATTACTGGATTGTCTGGTTCAGACCGCCATGTTGCTGGAATATTGCTGCGTGCGGTGTTAAACCAACCAACCAGCAGGAATTGAGGTTGAATTCTCACCTGGGTGTTCACTGCCACACCTTGATGCAGTTTAGAAGTAACGTTTCCTCACGAACCCACAACCAGTGCAAATAGCTTCGTTTGAGACTAGCATCAACAATATCCACATAAATACGGGCAGGTCGGCGGAAATGCTCGTCCACTACATTTGGTTAAGCTTATGCACGGCCACGTTTCAAGAAACCACATGTGAAGTGAACTAAAGAACTGTCGGAAATAGAAAACTTTTTTTCACATTTATATCTACAATTTATGTAGTTAATATGTGAAATATCTGTTAAACTAGGTGAGGTGAAAGTGGGTTTAACGTCGCGCTGGAGAATATTTCTCTCATATGACGACGTGCATGCGTGTGTATGTGTATGTGCGGCTGCTTGTACTAGCCCAGACTGAAGCTGGTTTTATAGTGCTAGCCCACCGAGATACCATGCCGCAGTGAAGCATGAATACCCAATTCAGACACATTATACTGACTCCAAGCCGACCAGTCCTTGTGCCGAGCGCCAGGCAGGGACAAACAAGTACCATATTTTAACGTCTTTTGGTATGACGCGGTCGGGGATCGAACCCGCGACCTTCCGCTATCCGGGCGGACGCTCTAACCACTACACCACGGAAGCGGCCTCCGTTAAACTAAGTTCGGCCTAACTACAGTCTCAGTGGGAGGGAGATAGGAAATGTAAAAAGGATTTTACTGAGGAGATATTAGTGCAGAAATGAGCAATGCGGGTTTTTTCAAATCCGAAGGACTTATTTGGACCAGACCATGGCTTTATGCAAAGTAGAGTGCGATGATATTGTAGAACAAATGACACTTTTAGAACGTCTATTTTGAAATTACACTTAGCTTCATTATAAACGATAGCAGGCGTAAAAATAACTTTAATACTGAAACTATTAAGGATGTAGGAGGGATCGTCTCAAAAGCAAAACCAAGACGGGTGTTTGGTGACGGTAGTTGGGGTCGGGCTTGGGGATAGAGATATTACCTAAGATTAGATAATCAATAGAGACATTCAATATACATGAAAAAGCATAAAAAATATTTGAGATGACCCCTTGTGTCTGGGCAGCACGTGAGTCGACGGTCCGTCGTCATACCTGTCTGAGCAACCTAATCTATGGTCTGATCTACTGTTTTCAGCAGCTATTCGTATTTTTTCTAACTTTCGCCCGATTTTACGAGTAAACATGCCTTTCTGGATATCCTATTACACATACCACTGAACGCCCAGTTAGGCCGATATGGGTTATTTCGAAATATGCTATTTGCAATTGTGTAAATTTTAGGGATACAGAGTAACAGCCTAAAAACAGGGTGTTTTTTTATTTTCCGACAGTACTTTAGAAATAAAGTGAATTTAGTTTAACGCCGCCTTTAGAAATATTCCAGCAATATCACGGCGGGGGACACCAGAAATAGGCTGCACACATTGTACCCATGAGGGGAATCGGATGAGAGCTGACGCTAACCACTAGGCTACAATACCGCTCCTATAAATAAAGAATAGCCCTTGGTGTCTGATATCGTTTATTGTGTCACTATGATGGGACGGACTCTCTCCTGTTGAAAAGTACAAAGCTATACAGTGACAGACCCAGCGACATTAAGCACAAGAGGGTCAGCGCCACGACTGCCGGCCAGGGAAGGATCGGCCAATCCGATGTGCCACTGAGCACATCTTCCTTGTTCTGTTTGACAAATGGTCGGTGTGCATCGTCCATTCTCAACAACGGTTGGTGTCTGTCGGCCTCGTCAGCGTTGTGTGGGGATAGATCAGGGTTGTATAGGGGTAGATGAGCACTGTCTGGACCCAGAACGGCCTCTTGGGACATCTGCGGTGGCAAATCGTCCCAATCTGAAGGAAGATTGTCATCTTCGGCCTGTGGTGGGGACAGTTCAAACTCGTCAGCCGATCGATCGTCGTCATTGGCCAGTGGTCGGTGAAGATCGTCCTCATGGGCCAGTGGTCGGGAATGATCGTCCTCATGGGCCAGTGGTCGGGAATATTGGTCCTCATTGGCCAGTGGTCGGGAATGATCGTCCTCATTGGCCAGTTGGTTAACTTTGGGCGATATTCTGATGACCTCTGATACGTGCTTGGTCGTGCCTATTTCTCTGTCCGCAGGGCTGTACATATCCGACTGAATTTGTATGGATCCATGATCTGGAACAGCAAGACATCGATCATGACTTTGCGCAGTTCTCAATTTGCATATTCTGCATGAACGTGTATTTTGGGTGTTCTTTATACAACTTCATATCTTATGTATTTTACCATTGGCTATTCTAGGAGTGGCGTGTTACTTGTTTCGAGTCTTCAGCCGTTGGTACAAAACCAGGTACGTTCATTACAACTAAGCCAATACACTTTCGGGGACAATGTATTTCTACTTTGATCACAATATTTTAGCAACAATGTTCCCACGAAACACCGATCGTAATTATATCGATATTTTGAGTATTTTCTGTTTTTCCGATAAAACATTCAAGTTGAACTAAACGTGGTTTCATTTTATAGTTACCAACAGTATTTCATGCATGCATAATTCTTTCAAAATCGACCGTTGAAGCGCAAAGTTACACACGTCACTTAGTATCGACGTTTACACACCTATGCTCTTGAACCGATATTCATGACGCAAATCACCGGATGTCTGGTTTAGACAAATACTTAAAGCGGCCGTCATATAGTCGGAATATTCCTGACTGCTGTGTAAAACAAACCCTTAATGCGAGTGAGTTTAGTTTAGTTTTACGCTGCACTCAGCAATATTCCAGCTGTATGGCGACCTTAATGCGAAGAGCAAACAGGACAACAGGTCCAGCCGCGCGCTTTGGACAGAGTACAACCACTGCGCTATGAAGGTGGCCAGTCCATAGATGATGGCATCGGTGCAATAGCATTTACAGTGGGTCAAGGGCTGGCATAAAGTCAGGAATCTAGGAGTGTGGATGTAACAAGTTACGCCAAAATCGACATTCCAGGTATGTGACAGCGGCTTATAGTCATCGAATCTGGACAAGGCAATTCCTGAACCGATTTGGTGAAACCATTCACACCTTCGGGAACGATGACTCCCGAACCTGACCATTGGATTGATTTTGCTGGGTCAAGAAAAATACCCTTGTAAGTTGACCCCATTTGATTCGGTTTTCGACGTCCAATTTAGTTTAGTTTTACACCGCACGAAGCAATATTCCAGCTATATGGCGGTTTCGACGTCCAAACAAAAACTATATTACTGCATCCTTGGCCGCGATTCGTCGATTTTCTGTCCAGAATATTATTGTTACGCACTGTTAAAATAATTGCTAACTGAAGAGCGGGAGGACGAACATGACGGAAAGGATTCTAAAATATCATTGAAGTTAAACAGTACAAGATATTAATCCTGAACAGAAAGGATCAAGTCCAGTGTAAAATTTAGGTATCGAGGACGATTATGTACGTACGTTCTCGAGATTCAAGAACAAACCGTCTTCGACGTTCTGTGCGACACGAGCTCTGAAACAAAAACATGAACCTCATCATAGTGGACAAGACCAATGGTTGCCAGCATCATCAACTTGTCGAGGTATTGCCACATATCCATAACGGTACCATACCTCTAAATTAGGCTCATACAAATCTCTACGCTTTTCATACTAAGGATACAAATATTGGTGTAGGTATAGTTTTACGCCGCTTTAGCAATATCACGGCTCGGGGCGGTGGACATGAGGTTCAGATTGTACCCCACATGACTGTCGAAACCACATGGCTACCCAACTGCCGTCCAAACAATACAGAATTGAAAAATCAAGATTTGGGGGTTTAATTCATTCAGGATTAATCAATAGGTGGTCATATTTTGGCTTCTGGTAATAAGCGTGCTTTTTAAAGCAACAAGTTAAATTTGAATTAAAGTGAATATCAAAGTTTATTTTGACGGACACACTAAAATACTAACTTTCCCAAAAGATGTACACAATATTTTCCCCAGGAAAAGTAATGCATGGTGATAGAGTATTTAACCGAGATCGTAAACTAAAGTACTGTCGGAAATAGAAAAAAACCCTGTTTTTTCGCATTGATATCTACAATTTATGTAGTTAATGTGTGACTGTGAAATATCTGTTAAACTAAGTTCGGCCTAACTACAGTCTCAGTGGTAGGGAGATATGAAACGTAGAAAAAGGACTTTACTGAGGAGAGATTAGTGCAAAAATGAGAAATGCGTTTTTTTCTAAGTTCAAAGCGACTTGTTTGGAACAGGCCATGGCTTTATGCAAATTAGTGTGCGATGATATTATATTACAGAGGACAATTTTTAAATGTCCATTTTGAAATTAAACTTAGCTTCATTATAAAAGATACCTGACTTAAAAAATAATAACTTTTAATACTGAAACTATGAAGGATGTAGCTGCCATGGAGTCTCACTATCACTATAAAAAGAAACAGGTAGGAGGGGTCGTCTCAAAAGCAAATCCAGGACGGGTGTCGCAGACGGTGGTTGGGGTCGGGCTGGGGGGATAGAGATATAAGCTGAGATAAGATAATCCTTTAGGGGAAGCAAACGGCATGTCATAACGATTTACAAATAATATCCAGTCCTGTCGATCTTCGGGTGGTCATGCCACCTATATATTTTGAGACATTTAATACGATGGCTGATTTAAGGTTTCCATGGGTATCATACCCATTTACGTATCTCAACATTAACTTTATGATTAATAAATGAGACATATTCAACACACATGAAAAAGCATAAATATCTTCGAGATGACCCCTTTTGCTTGTAGGCAGTACGTGCATTTTATGCCAGGCGAGTCGGCGGTCCGTCGTCATACCTGGCTGAGCGACCTAATTGCCATCTATAGTCCCATCTATTGTTTTGAGCAGCTATTCGTAATTTTTCTAAGTTTTCACCCATTTTACGAGTAAACATGCTTTTCTGGAAATACTATTATGCATCCCCTTGAATGCCCAGTTAGGCCGATGTGGGTTATTTCGATATATGCCATTCGTAAATTTGTCAATTTTAGGGATACAAAGTAACAGCCTAAAAACAGGGTTTTTTTCTATTTCCGACAGTACTTTATAAATATACACTTTCGAAACAGGAAGACCACTTACTGCATTACTGCATATTCTATGAGGAAACAGATTAGATAGAGATTAGATAGATATTTGATAGATTAGTGAGGGAGTTTAGTTTTACGCCACACTCAATATTCATGCTATATGGCGGCGCTCTGTAAATAATGGAGTCTGGACCAGACAATCCAGTGAGCAACAGCATGAGCATTGATCTGCCCAATTGGGAACCGATGACACGTGTCGACCAAGCCAGCGAGCCTGACAACCTGATCCCGTTAGTAGCCTCTTACGACAAGCATGGGTTACTGAAGATTCATTCTAACCCGGACCTTCACGGGTTTAGATAGATTAGAGATTAGATAGAGATTAGATACATTTAGACATAATATATAAAAAATAAATTAAAACAAATCCCAAAAAATCGCATCCAGTATTCAATTTTACTAAAACTTTAAAACTTGTTTTTGCTCACGCTCAGTGAGGACACTTGCAGTGACGCATAAACACGATTGTGATAATATTCAAATTAGATCCATGATGTGTGTCCAAAAGAGACATGGGAATTTGGGGTACGAGTTTTGCGTCGCTTTGGAAAGATTTACCATACTGATACAAAACGAGCACGAGTACCTGGACATACCTGAAACAATCGGGGGACACAGGGATTCAAACCCACTATCACAGGTTTATAGCATAGCAACTCCTGCTCCAGACAAGGTGAGCGAGCCAGACCACCCGATCCCGTTAGTCGCCTCTTCCGACAAGTATTATCCTCGATAATCTCCAGGGTATACGTTACGATCACTCTCCATTATCGAGGATGGACAAGCATGGGTTTCTGAAGACCCATTCTAACCCGGATATTCACCGGTCTCCTAAGATATTGATAATTCACTGGTCCAAACAGTGCCAACTCAACTCACCCCATCACAACTTGTATTGCAGGTTGTGAAATTGCAGTCAAATTTGATATTCTTATCATCGCCAAGGTGAAACGACACGAAGTAAGGACTGAATGAACTTTTGCCAACAGTTGTAAATCCTTCATCCTTCCGGAAAATTATTCCGTCGCCGCAGCTGTAAGAAAATACATTCAAGGTGGCATTAGAACACAGGGGTTCGAATCACTGTTTGGACAATAATTTTTAAAATAAAAGTCTAGACTTTTGCAATCGTTTTTTAATGTTATGATTAACCTATGTTTCAAATTTGAACGAGATCGGTGAAGGAATGAAGTTTTAAGAAAATTCCACCGCTACACTCATTACATAAAATACAAATTTATATAACGAGTGTAGCGGTAGAATTCTCTAAAAAAAAAAAGTCATTTTATTTTTGAAAATTGCCCAGTGATTCGAACCCCTGTGCATTAGACCCAGAAACCGCGACAGTGGCCGATGCGGCAATACAAAGTGTGAAGGCAAGTCCAAAGTCTGTTCTGTGTTTGAAGCGGCAATCAGCAAACTGACGTCTGCAATTGGTCCAGTCTGGATCACACTATCCTGTGATTAACATTATCATCAATCTATCAATTGGTAAACAGTGATGGATCAACCTGTTACAAGGATTGACAATTCCTCACTGCTGAATCCACCAATGTGGAGTTGACAACCGAAGTGTCTCGGAATGAAATCCACTCATTTAATCTTGACACGCCCGAGATGAAATCCTGCTCAGCAAATTGATTCAGAGGACGGTCTCAACTGTGCCCTTTCTTTTCACCGTCTCTTATCCTTCTATAATTTAGGAGATTTCCAGCTGTATGGTCCGTAAATAATCGAGTCTGGACCAGACAATCCAGTGATCAACAGCATGATCAACAGCATGAACATCGATCTTCGCAATAGGGATACGACGATATGTCTCAACCAAGTCAACGAGCCTGACCACCCGGATCGGGTTAGCCACCTCTTGCGCATGGGTTGCTGAAGACCAATTCTATCCTTATCTTCACGGGTCATTCACCACCTGACTGCATACAGAATGGGTTGGGAATATCAAGGCATGACTCATTTTAACATAAATTGTCAACCTAGTCTTGCACATGCAAAGTATTCATAAGTGCATAATCTGCAAGAATTCTACACGTTGCGTTTGTGTGAGTGAAGGTCATGTTTTGATAGTTGTTAAGCTGCTACTTGGTTCATGCAAGGTGTTATTGTCCCACAATGCACCAGATGATCACTATGTACATACCCTGCACGAAGAACGGCATATCTCTCCTTGGAGTTGATCCCAACCACGTCACAGGAAGATACCCTTATGCCCACTTCGCCATCCTTACCTACAGGAAACAGTGAGAATTCACGAGACATGTTTACAATGCACTCACCACAGTTGTGAGCAATCTTGCGTGGATTGGGTGAGAATGGTTTTACGCCACTTTTAGCAATATTCCAGCAATATCACGGGGGGCATCAGAAATGGAATCACACATTGTATCTATGTGGGGAATCGAACCCGGGTGTTCGGCGTGACAAGCCAACGCCTTAACCACTAGGCTACCCCACCGCCCCCTTGTGTGGACCTACCTTGACACCGAAGTGCAAGGTATGATACTAGTATATATACTTATCACTGCCACGGGTGCACGCAGACATGAGGGTACAGTGCAGCAATTCAAATGTCAAAAACGGAAATTTTAAATGTTACACAATGAGTAAAATATTAAATCGATTATATTTACGTTACCTTGACACTATAAAAATGTTTTACAAATGTTTAAAAAGATAAGCATTTTCCGGCGCCTTCTAGGCAATTTAATATACTGATTCACAAAGCGGTCCTAACTATAGTGTATCATAGGCTTAGGAAGGTCCAAAAGCTACGAACGTTTTGTGGATCAACTGTCACATTACTGAGACCGGACCAGATGAACCATTTGGGCAATATGTCATCTGTAATAAGTAAATAGCCCAGTTAAAGCAACCTTCTCTACTTGGCTCTTACATTGGTGCACAGACCAATTCCCCACTCTTTCATGTACAGTTTATCTTCAGCAATGTTTCAGCCATTTTGGGCGACTCCGATCGGGAAGCGTGTACGTTAAGTTTTGTCATAGTGTCATACCATCTGTAGTTGCCTTGATCTGAATCTTCCTCTGGGCTGGGATATTTGGCCCAATACTGGCGCCTTTCACATCTACAAGACCCAGGTGAATCGATGAGGAAAGCCGAGGGCCTTTATTGAACTGCAGCTCTGCCGGGGCGATAAGTCTAAACATGAAGTAACGAGTGAGTGAGTACGTTTAGTTTTACGCGGCTTTTAACAATATTCCAGCTATATCACAGCGGGGGACACCAGACATGGGCTTCACACATTGTACCCATGTTGGGAATCGAACCCGGGTCTTCGGCGTGACGAGCGAACGCTTTAACCACTAGGTTACCCCACCGCCCTGAAGTAACGAGTGAATATGGGATTTTTCCAGTATTGTTTGTGTCGGGCAAACAGGGAACTTTTAGCGTTCAAAACTGGATTTTGCTTAAAAAGGTTCCAATTTTCTTAAATTCAAAATAATGTTTAGGTATTTTAAAGGTATTTTGAAATTCCATTAATATAATAAAGCAAACAGGTTTAATGGTTACGTTAGTGAATTAAAGTCACATGATTCTTTTTCCAATCCAGTGACCAGGAAAATTCAAATATGTTGCTTTTGACAAATAATCACATTAGACAGTTCTATTGTATAAACACATCTTCCCAGTGTATGGGAACTGACTGACCAAAAATAGTTTTCACGCTTGGTCTGCAAATACTGCATCAATAATCTCAACGGCGGTCACCGTGTTAATGACCCGGATGTTGATTTCACCAAGCGATTTTGATTGGCACCAGTCTCGTCAGCCAAATTACAAGACCACAGTACGAAACTAGTTTGGAAAGGTTAGAACCAGTCTTGGTAAAGTGCACTGCCTTGGGATAAATAAACCGGGGCTGCCATGTGTACTACAGAGGTGATCCGATTATGATCGTTGGGACAGCTGCTGAGCAGCGGCACCTACCCGCGTAGCGCCTGTTTTGAGGCGGTGGACTTCACACCGTAGTCGCCGAACGAACAGGAAACCACGTACTGCTCGGCATTCGTAATGATAGGACTTCCTTTTTCGCCCCATGCTACGTAAACGGTCGTGGTGTACACTGTGGCCCCTTCCCGTTTCTGCAAAATGTTAACAACTTCTGTAAAAACAAACACTACCATTACATTTACTATTTGTGCTTACGATGGTTTTGTGTTATGATATTCAACAATCTCACAAATTGTACATACCTCCCGAGATGACTGGGACACCAGTGCCAGTGGCTTATTATTATACAATACGATAAAGAAGAATCGTTGGTTCAAATCTCATTCTGCGACGTGACGTCGATTACAGTTATACAACCTTCGCCCAAATCTGGTTTAATATAAATCTGTAAACGTAGTAGCGCTGTAGGTATACTGAAACTTCAACACTGTTCTTTATTACCAGATGTTCACATTAAAGGGCAAGTTACGTACAACCAATAAAGACGGATTTGGGTCCAGTACACTTCATGATGGAAAATGATGAGCAATTAATACTTCTTTGTCCCATATTTTTATCGATCTTATGTCAAAACGTTAGCCTCATTTCTTCATACGAACGACCAGAAGCAACGTTAAGCAGTCATACAATGATAGTATGCTACCACTCACCGCCAGTGCAAGTTCAAATTACTGTAACTTACCTCCAATACGCAACGAGCGCCGCCATTGTCTTTGAACGTGATTGGCAGGATGCAATGTGCAGCATCGGTTGCATTGAAAAGTTGTAGGCCGTTCTTACATTTTGCTGTCACACGAACACTCAAGTCAGATATTACCTCAATGTTGCCATTTGACTTGCCATCTCCACAATGGGCAACGACTGAAATCATAAAATCAAGTCCGGTAAGATTTTACACAAATCTCTCCCATTCGGCTCCATTGACATTGTTATATTTTTATAAACCTAACCTTGACATTTTAGGAAGCAGCGAGTTGGGCTTAAGAATAATATATATATATATATATATATATATATATATATATATATATATATTCAAGCGTATGGGACTTTCACAATTGGTGAAAGCTGTTACGGATATGTGTTGACAAACCTAGAAACAATCAGAGCGAGTCGATATTCGATTTCTGGCGCGCCTAAGGGGACAACTCCGCCCAGGGAAAGAAATCTACATCAAACACTTATCGAAAATCGGAAACCAATGTTATCTCTGGATGACACGGACATCATTGAGGCCCTCTTATGTGTATATAGAGCAGAATATGAGTGATTCATTGGTTGATAGGACAAGCAGTGAGTGAATATGATTTGACGCCGCCTTCAGCAATATTCCAGCAATATCACGGCGGGGGACACTAGAAATGGGTTTCACATTGTACCCGTGTGGAATCAAACATGCCTTCGGCGTGACGAGCAGGACGCGTCATTAGGCTACCCAACCGCCCCTGTATGACTACGAGAGCATGGCATCACAGACAAAATCAAAGAGGTAACAGTGTAACCGGCGTGTCCTCCGTGGAATGCTAAAGAATTGGTTGTGAATTCAGTACCAAGCGATGTTCAGTTTATTCCAATATCCATCCTCTGATTACATCAGTTATAGTGCCCGTTTTTCCCGATCGTTAGGCCAGTTTTAATTCACTGTATTCATCAATATTAAAGACTGGATTTTTGAAAACATTAAAAGATACATGGGTGGTACTCACCTTTAATGATGAAGTTCGAGGGCAGGCCCGTCACATACACGGGGACCTGAAATAATTTCATGCACACCCCAGGTTTACACACAAAGAATACTTAGTGTTTAACGTTGTTTTTTCAATAAAAAGTCCTAATTGAAGACCCACTTGGGTAACATTTCCGCCCGTATCCCCGCCATATTTTAACGATGAGGAACAATTTCTTTGAGTGGCATTTTTAGAAGTTGGATATGTCTTTGAATATATTGAGATACAATTAAACGAACATGTTAAAACTCATCCTTATCAGATGAATATATATTCAGGTAATTATTTGACTAGAATGATACTTAAGGGGGGCACGGGCGGAAGTCTTTCCAATGTATTTTTATAAGATTCGAGTAAAAGCATGGTGTCACATTACTAACCGCTGTATCGAGTAGTAAAAGCGGCGCGAATTACAGCTACGATTTCCCAACTACCTCATTGGTTACAAATATAATGTAGACAGTTGCAGAAGAAAAGAGGTGAGGTGAGGTGAAATTGGGTTGAACGTCGTGCTTGAGAATATTTCGCTCATATGACGACGTGCATGCGGGTGTATGTGTATGTGCGGCTGCTCGTACTAGCCCAGACTGAAGCTGGTTTTATAGTGCTAGCCCACTGAGATACCATGCCGCAGTGAAGCATGAATATCCCACTCAGACACATTATACCGACTCCGAGCCGACCAGTCCTTGTTCTATCCATTAACGCTCTAACATCTACACCACGGAGGCGGTCACAGAAGAAAGGAAAAACCCAAATGAAAATTCGAAACAGACAATAAACACGCTACTCACAGATATTGCCAGAAGTAACCCAGCAACCCACACAGCCATACCTGCAGAAGACGCCGAGAAGATACATTACAATCTCTGTAACAAACTGCACAGCATATGGGCGAATAGTGGAAACTGAAATATTAATCTCCACATAAAGTTGTATCAAAAAATGTAGCCGAACCTAAACTATTTGAAGAAAATATATTGCAAGCATTGATAAAAATATAGTACGTATTATTACGTGAATATTATGCCAATTCACTTTACAGAATATTCCGCTGTTTGTAAATGCAGAACTCAAATGCTACGTTTCAGTTGGTTTTAATTTATTTGTAACTCAGACAAAATTTTAGAATATTTATCAACAACACATTAAATTCTGAATACATTTGTGTCCGAGGAACGAGCTAAGTATGAAGACAACGCACCTGTTTTGTTGCAGATACAAAACAAGAGCAACAATTTCACCAGTAAAGATAATTTATCTCCGGATTGAAAAACATTCTTACCGACATGGAGTGAAGACACGCTCTGAGCAAGTCCACGGGGTTATGAAGCCAGGGACGGAAACACCAGTGTTACTTTCAGGCAAAACTCGTGCATTGTTATCCAATCAAATTGGCTGTCACAAATAATCTCGTTTTGTTAACCTATCACTAACACCGTTCTAAAGAAGCTCGAAGGCATAAAAGCATGAGGCAGCGCATGGATTTTTCAGGCGTCCGCTGTCCATCGCGTGCTAGGCAGAACTGAACATTTTCAGGTAACACTAACTTACAGCCATTTTGGATAACATCTTTTGATTATTCACAAAATGAAAACAATAATGGTTGCCCGTGTCGTCGATTCTGCTATCAAAGAAATTAAACTGATCCAATGTGAAGCGCTCATGCATACTTCCACGGTCGTGTATTACGTTGAAATATACAATAAACATTATTTTGACTACACGACATGTATACGGCATAGGACAGAACTGAAGGAATATGAACTGATCCGATGTGAAGTGCCCATGCATATTTCCACGGTCGTGTATTACGTTGAAATGTAGGGGAGACCGGGGTCAATTGTAACATTTTTACTTAAGTTCTTGTAATTCGATATTAGTCGACCGCTCACAAAGTTTATCGGTACTAACTAATACATTGGCATCTTGGCTCTAAACCTCGGAGTCATTTAAAGTTCACGATCATGTCGTTACAAAGTCAAAACGTATCAAATGCAATGACTGCAATTGTAACAGATGGATGGGGCAATTGTAACAAAGAAGGTTCGAACGTAAGAATCTGTTTATTTTCCAAAGACAATCAAAATGAAATGTGGAAAGATGTTACCTTGATCAATTGAGGTGGATATGGATTAACATTGAACCTTTGTCACCATCGACATTAAAAATGTTTTTCGTTTAAAATTCTTGTTTTCGTATGCACAAAATATATAATACAAAGACTAACACCAAAATCTTTCACCGGAGGGCTGATACTATCAACATTAGACTGAAAATGTTCTAATATGATGAAACTAGTAAAGAACTAACATAAAACCGACATCATAATTTGCTTCATTATCATTACATAAGGGAAAATTACATGGGGGCAGTTGTAACACAGTGTTACAATTGCCCCCGATGCTAGTAGCCATGTTTCATGCCACGACATATGTTAACAACGTTGGGCTTCTCAAATATTTCTACTTCAAAATAAGTCGTTATACCTCAATTTTACACATGAAAAGTTAATTTGATACCAAGCAACATTTACTGCATTAAGAACGTTTTACTGCGTTTTTTGAAAAATTTACTTATGTAAAAAAGGATGTTTCGTCCACTGTATCTCGCCATGAGCGAGCAGCTGAAAAACGCCCGGATGTGTACCGCAGGAAAGCAAAGGAAAATAACTCTACTCACCTACATTATGCTTGAGGGAAAACTTTTAGAGTAATCGCCTTTACAATTGACCCCGGTCTCCCCTACAGTAAGCGTTGTGCACAAAGTTATTTTGACTACCCGACATGTATACGGCATAAGATAGAATCTTTCATATATTGTCTAGTTGAAACTCATTGTAGGATCGTATGGTCTTGTTCTTTGAGTAACTTGTGTTTCACACACAGGGGCGTGTCACGCTTAGAAACAGCGTTAGAAAGACATATCTATAGACCCTACCCTAGAACCATATAAAAGGAAAGGGATGTAACGACAGAACCACCTCTCCTCAAATATAGATTTCACCACGTAAACTATTTTTAAGGCCCCGCCCACATAGGTGCTGTCAACGTGGATGATAGCTGTTTTCGGTGAGTCGTTGCGTATAACTTTTGAAATAATGATCCGATTGTGACCATTTATAGCTTTTTTTGTAGGGAAATTATGTCGCTTTCGACCCGTAGGCCTCGACTGGGCCTTAAAAAATAGTTTACGTGGTGAAATCTAACTTTGATTGAGGAGGGGGTGGTTCCGTCGTTACATCCCTTTCCTTTTATACACTAGTAGTTCTAGGGTGGGGTCTATATACCTGTCTTTTTAACGCTGTTTCTAAGCGTGACACGCCCCTGTGCTTTCACATGTAACAGGCTGGGCTAGGCATGGGAAGCCTCTGTGAGCAGTTGGGGTGGTTTTAGGCGAGTTTAGTCTGTCATCCTCGATAATCTGCAGGGTAAACGTTCCGATAAATCTGAAGTATACCCTGGAGATTATCGAGGATGAGTCTCAGTGTTCTACTTTATTTCCCCTGATATCTCGAGTTCTTATTTCAATGTGTTTCTCACCCCAAGCAGGCGGCGGAAAACTTATGTAACGTTTTTTATTAAATTTTAAACTTTACATCACTTTAGTCATTTGATTAATTTATGATATATTTCGGGTCGCTTTACTTCAGAAACAAACATGCATATATAGTCCAACTACATGTATATGGCGGCAGTCGTGAATAATCGTGTTTGGACCAGACAATCTAGTGACCAACATCATGAGCATCGGTCTACGCAATTGAGATACGTAATTGACACGTGTCAACCAAGTCAGACAGACTGACCACCCGATCCCGTTAGTCGCCTCTTAGGACAACCACAGGTTGCTGAAGGCCAATTCTAACCCGGATCTTCACGGCTAGAATCTATTTGTACAAGATTGCCACAACCGGTTGAACACGATTTTCTAAAGTATTAAAATGTCTCCACTGGGCTAGGTTGTTTATTACATTTATTTCCCACTTGACTGTTGCAGCAATGGCACCGACTTCAGCCGCCATCACCGTCCTCCTGATGTTTCTGTTGCCGGTACGACTTCCAGGGAGACCGGGTGGGGGGGCTCTAGGTTAGACCAGTCTAATGACTGTCCGATCTAAATTAAAATAGGACCAGGACCACCTTATTCTTTTAGTCTGTCTAATGCATTTCTGCGTGATGCTGAGAGCCCGCCCAAAGCTGTTTTATGAGGATTTTCGAGGGGAAACTTGGGTGAGGTAAAATGCAAATGTGTAGAATCTATATTCCTTTCATAAATCATGTTTTAAAAAATAACGGGTAATTCGGTCTCGATTGGTAAACTGGAGTAAAATGTGTTATATTTTGGGGGATCACTTCCCTTCTGATACTGTTCATGTGGAAGACATGCTCCTGATGTTTCAGCGTCATTTGGTGGCTATTCCTCATCACTTCATAATGAAGGGTGAGTAACTTCTTGGTTCATATTGAGTCAGCTAATACGAACTGCATCATAGGAGTGAGTGAGTTTAGTTTTACGCCGCACTCCGCAATATCCCAGCTATATGGTTGCGGTCTGTAAATAATCGAGTCTGGACCAGACAATCCAGTGATCAACAGCATGAGCATCGATCTGCGCAATTAGGAACCGATGACATGTGTCAACCAAGTCGGCGAAACTGACCACCCGATCCCGTTAGTCGCCTCTTACAAGCATAGTCGCATTTTATGGCAAGCGTGGGTTGCTGAAGACCCATTATATCCCGGATCTTCACGGGTCACTGCATCATAGGTCTTATAAACTGACAACATGCCACAGTGAGATAATATTTAATCTTCGTTACTGCATCGCCTGTTTGCAGCCCGCGGTGTTGGTTAGGTAGCCTACTGGTGAAAGCGTTCGCTTGTCACGCTGAAGGCCCGGGTTCAATTACCCACATGTTACAATGTGTGAAGCCCATTTCTGGTGTCCCTCGCCGTGATATTGCTGGAATATTGCTAAAAGCGGCGTAAAACCACTCGCTCATTTTAACCCACACATCGCGGTTTGTAAGGGCTGGTATTTAAATGGACACGGTCGGCAAGATGTTTTCGGATATCGAAAACCACACAATGACTTCACAAGAACCAGCACGTAATTAGGTATAGTGATGAACTGGTGTCTGGATATCATAGGATATCGACGACTTTGTCCTCTTGTTTCAGCTTTGTAAGACCCTTATTCCTCACTTCAATCTTGAACCGCCCCCAATATTGAACAGGACTTGCATCCAATCAGATTCCTTGTTTTGCCAGTCGCTCCGGAATGTGGTCCTAATGTGAAGAGTGTGGCGAAGATCAACATCGTCACCGATCTGCATATAACGGGCTTTGCCAGGTGCAAAGATGGAAAGAAATACGAATTCCGTTCCAGCAACCGCGTGAACCACTTTCTGGAAGTCTCTTATGCGGGATCTGGTTGTGTTTTCTTTGTGAGTGGAAACATAAATAAGAAATATTCTTATATTCTTTGAACTTTGCTAACGCTCTGCTGTTCGTTCCAGTATCTTCAAATAAAGACCTTTCTTGGAAATATTCCCATCGACGACTGAAACTTGTTTGACCGATTCTATTGTATGTTGCAGTAACTAGCGTTAAGGTTTAATTAAAATGAATTTTTAATTTATATGTAACAGAAAATGGACTCGTCTAACGTGTATACCGTCCCCATTTTCATCCAATGGGGGTCGCCCGCCAGTCCACTGCAGACAAGTGAGGAACAGTACCAAGTCACGTGTACCTTCGACAAGAATGGGGAAAGTAAAAGTGGTTCTAAGATCATTACAGACGCGTGAGTAGATCGTCTTCTCTCTACATGTAGGTCATTAATTTATTATTTCCTAGGCATGTGTCGTGCAGGTGTACCGCCCTACCGCCTGCCAGAGTCCGGTGGTTCGAATGCCAGGTTCACATCCGTATTTCCCGCGTTTTGTCAGCGTTTGCAACCAGCGCCTGTATCGCTCTTTCACTCGAGCCTTCAGAAGTGATGTCAGGAGTCTGTTAAATACTTAAACATTTAATTTCGATTTTTGATGTATTAAATGACAGGATATAATTTGCATCAAAGTGGAAGCAGTATTCAAAATGACCGTAAATTGTTCGTTGTCCTGTTGTCTGCACCCAATTTGTTTCCATTATTTGAAGGCATGGGTCACACCAGTTTAAGCTGGAGACCCTGGTTCGGTCCCCCACATGGATGCAATGTCTGGTGTCCCCTGCCGTGATATTGCTGGAAAATTGCTAAAAGCGGCGTAAAACCAAACTCTCAGTATTTCGTTTCTGAAATACCAGGTAGGATAGTTGTCCAATCGTAACTTTTAAGCAGTCGGTTAATCTTTCAGACTTCTCGCCCCTCGGGAGATTCAGACAAACCTTGGGCCCTTGGCCAAATCTGGATATACCCTGGACATGACAAACGTACTGGGGAACGCCCTGCCCAGCACTGTAGACATCGGGAGGATGGTGAAGCTAACGGCAAAGTCAGATGGTAAAGGCATTTGTCTTGTACAAGATTTGCTCCAAAGCCAGATGTTCGAATTTATGATAACCATATTATATATTTGTTTAAACGGAGAAAAGGCTGCATCCTGGCAAACATGGATTTTATTCATTACTGAAGTGGGTTATTCGATTTGAATGAGAAATACATTTTAAAGTACTTTTAAATAATACTTAAGGATATGTGAAATGTTGAAAGGATTTCTATTAACCAAATAATTCGGCCCGGTGCATAAACCTCTTCATGAACTTCCTACATTTCTTAAACCTTTAATATCTTCTGTTAAGCTGTATTCCAAGATATTTAAATATGGCTTCTTTGAAACATTATTTTCATAAGCAAATATTGTTGCCGATCAATATACGTCATTGAAGAATTACATACACAAGTTGAAAAAAATACAAGTGGATATATGGGTTATGTTATAGTGTTTGGTTTTGTCAGTAACTTGAGTATGTATGTTCGCAAGCAAAGTCAGAATTAATTTGTTTACTGTGATTTATATTCTGTAACGTACGCAACTGGAGCTCTAACGAGATGTAATGTAACCGATACATAATGTACTAGCCTCACTGAATGGGGGCGGTGGGGTAGCCCAGTGCTTAAAGCGTTCGCTAGTCACGCCCGAAAACCCGGGCTCGATTCCCACATGGGTACAATGTGTGAAGCCCATTTCTGGTGTCCGCCGCCCTGGTATTGCTGGAATGTTGTTAAAAGCGGCGTTAAACTAAACTCACTCGCCCCTGCGTAATGGCAGTTTGTTTCTTCCAAAGGACGGGGTGGAGAGTCTGGACTCAGAGCGCTGTCATGTGATGTCGTTGGAGTCAAGACTAACAAGAGATACTCCATCCTTAGAGCTGGGTAAGCAACGGAAGTAAACATCAGAGCTCCGCAAACCTTCAAAATAAAGTCTGGGATGGGATTAAAATATTAAAGAGTTTGTTAGCCCGTAGCTTTGAACGCTTCTAACAGTTAGAATGACATGAAATATTAAACGACCCTTGGCCGTGTTTCTTTTTGAAATTGGTTTAGTCTTCAAATTATTGTCCATCTAAAGAAATATTCATTCGGTTATTTTATACCTAAGTGTTACAATTAATCATGTGCAATAAGCATCATCCGAAATATGATTTCAAAACGAAGCGCATGTTTCATAACACTACCAGTTTCTTTTCTCCTTGTCAGCAAGTGATGTGGCGTTCAAAATAGGTTATTCACGATTAGTCCACCAACCAGACCTTTGTTCCTGGATATATATATATATATATATATAACTCGTATTGTGGCGTTTTTCCAATGGTGATTGTATCTCCCGCACTTGAAGGTCTTGGGCAACCCATGCTTATCGTAAGATGCGATTGGGTAGCCTCGTGGTTAAGGCGTTCACTCGTCACGCCGAAGGCCCGGGTTCGATTCCCCACATGGGTACAATGTGTGAAGCCCATTTCTGGTATCCCACGTCCTGATATTGCTGGAATATTGCTAAAAGCGGCGTAAAACCCAACTCACTCACTCACGTAAGATGCGGCAAACGAGATTGTGTTGTCAGGTTCGCTGACCTGCTTGATGCATTTTATCATACGCCATCGATGCTCATGTCATGTCTGGTACATGTTCGACTGTCTGTAGGCCACCATAATAGCTACCGTATTGCTGTCTGCAGCGTAACAGTAACACATTAATTCATGTCCACTTTACATGGCAGAATCTAGTCTTTCTAACCCTGTGACTTGTGTAAAACTGGAACATCACGTCATTGGACTGTGAAGTGAGTTTAGTTTTACACCAAACTCAGCAATATTCCAGCTATATGGCGGCAGTCCGGACCAGAAAATCCAGTGATCAACAGCATGAGCATCGATCTACGCAATCTACGATGACGTTTGTCAATCAATCCCATTAGTCGTCTCTTACAAGCATGGGTTACTGAAGATCGATTCTAACCTGAATTTGGATTATGAATCATATGCGAGAATAGTATTGCATATTGCATGGTATGGAAACGGTTTACGCATTAACTTTCATCTAAACGTGACAGGGCTGCTATCTGAACCCTGCTTGGTCAACATTAAAGGGGAAAGGATGCTTGTTTATGATGTCGGGTTGCAGTTGCGGTGACGGTATGATCTTCAACAAGACTGCTGGGTTCACCACCAAGGGCCTGACATCCATCAGCCCATACTTTGCCACCTTCAACCTCTTTCAGGACGAAGAAGTGTTCTTTGACTGCAACTTCACTCTCTGCAGAAAGGCTTGCGATGGGGTGAGACCGTCATGCTAGAAGGTCTCAATTGTAATGCCAGTAAAACGACGTTTAACTATATTTTCATATTAATAAACATAACGATTTATTACGTCTTTTGTTATTTCAAAGTATGTGAACTGTTTTGAGGAAAGTGTAATCGTAAGCCTTACTCTTCGTGTTCTCAGAGTTCCTGTGCTACGGTTCGCCGGAAGAGATCAATGGACAATGATCTGTCTGGTAGGTATTTCACCCGTTTTGCTTCAGTTTACGAACGCTGTTCTATTGATGATAATAATAATGCCGAGACCCAAACACCCTTCTGTAAGGCCACTAAAAGTGTCTTGGGTAATTGTGTCTAGGTATGCCAACGATATGTTGGCCGTAGTAGGGCTGGGAAAACTGCGGGAGATGGGATTGTCTTGAATGTTTTTTTTAAAATACATGGTTGACTTGGTGACGTTCCAGAGAAGTGTGTGTTCAGTCATTGATAAATATGATGACGCCGCCAAACAATTAATTTGGGTTAATGTAATCAGATTGTTGTCGAAATATTGGTGCCAGATCTCTGACGGCATGTTTCGACCAACGAGGAAACCCTTAAGAGAATATATGAATACTATAAATTTTGAAATCCACATGGCAATGTGCTTGCACATCCACGAATGGATACTCCGGGTCAGAAAAGAATCCTGTCCCCTTCTTTGATGGACTCTTTTCTGTTTATAGATTGCATGACCCTGGAATAGTTCACGTAAATTAGAAGGAAAGACAAGTTCGTATCTTCAGGAAAGACCATATTGCTGTAACTGCTATTATGGAGATTCACAACAGGTCCTGAGCACCTAAGGCTTATCACTGAAATTAATATCTGAAATTATTACGTTGTGACCTTGACTCTGTCTGAATGTGGTGACGTATGCAACTGTTGATCATATTACAGTACAACCAGAAATTATTGAGAATTTAAAAATTGTAATATTTTTATTTTTTTCTCACATTACTCACGTATTAAATGTGAATATTAGCAGAACATAACTCCAGATTCAAAGACAGGTGAACAGTTAGTATTTTGTCAAGTCACCATGGGCAGCAATGAAGGCTTCAATGCGGCGGGGCATACTACTGATCAAAGAAGTTACAAAGTCGTGGTCCATGCTCTCCCAATATCGGACCACCTCTTCTTTCATTTCAGCAATATTTGTCAGATTTTTCGTATTGACTTTCCTTCATAAGTCCCCAAACATTTTCTATTGGATTTAGGTCTGGGCTATAGCTTGGCCAATCTAATAATGTCATATTTTGGGTCCGAAACCAGGCCTGTGAATGCTTTGAACGATGTTTTGGGTTGTTGTCCTGCTGGAAAATCAAAAAATTTCCATAGAACACGTGAGCAGATGGAAGTAAATGTCCCTCGAGAATATATGTGTACCGCTCACTGTTCATATTCCCTTCATCTACACAGAGGGGCGTTGACCCTAACACAGATATGACACCCCACACGTTAAATTTCAGACTGTACTTGGGCGCTGATACAAAGGTTTTTCAGTATGTTTGGTCCAGAATTTCAGTGTATTAGGAAACAGCCACACAGAACTTTCATCTTAGAAAATCACATTGTCCCAGTTAAATTTTCTATGCTGTAAGCACCAGTTCAACCTTCGCTCCTTTTGTTCAGATTTCATGATCGGTGATGGAATTCCTCGTCTTTTCTGCCAACCCATTGCATGCAGCTCAGTTGTAATTGTCTCCTTACAGACAGCCACAGTTCCTCTATCAATCATATCCAACATTAAGATTTCTAAACGCCTTCGTTTGTTTTTAGAAACAAGAATACCAAGCCGCCTCCTGTCACCGACAGTCAATTTTCTGGGCCTACCTGCGCCTCCCTGGTGCTCAATGCCATATCCATTTGCAATATTTTTCAAAACACGATAAACAGTGGACAAAGGGATGCCTGTTCTACATGAAATAATTTTAGCTGATCTGATGTCCTTGTTATACTACTCTAAAATCAACTTCCTCTTCTCTAAATCATCCATACTGAGGATCACTGAAAATGTCGTCGGCTAGCAAGTAAACAAAGGGATAACTCTTCACAAACTAATGAAAAGGATTAACAGAGTTGTCTCTCTTGAATGAAACCAAGCACTTGATAGCTGGTCAAGGTTGTTTATACTAGAAATCCAATTAAACATGTTCCAAAAATTCTCAAATTCATACTATATCAACCACTGTTTTCCTGCAACTTCATTTACTTGAATCTGACAGCTTTAAACATTCAATCAATTATTGTAACGTTTCAATATCGAGAGCACCTCTTTTTAGGAATAGTATCGACTACACTCATGTGAACTTCTGTTCCAGGAGAAAGTATCAACGGAATCGCCTCAAACACTGTCAACGTGAACGCCTACGACGATGAGCTTGTGGGGATATTAGACCCTAACGAACCCTCACCCTGCAGGAGTAGTGGGCTCTGGAAGGTTCTGGTAACCATACATTGGGAGTATGTGATGCTGTCCTTGTCACTAACCATCACGTTCCTGATCGTCATACTGGTTGTCAAGTCGATTTCAACAAGATCGGTTGTTAAGGAACCAGACATGAAGCCCACTTTACACATGTAAAGGATGCCTATTAAATCATAATAGACCTGATCGTGGTTTGTTTTCATCAAGAACTCAAATCTTATCCAGAATTAGATTTGGTTTTCTAAATGACCACTGTCAACGATTGGAATGCTGCAGTGTGGATCCCTGTGCCTGCTTAACAAACCATACATTAAGATTCGACCCTTGGCTGCATGGTGAGCTATCGTCCAGTTAAGATAATAAACCTTTGCTCTGTTTCACTTACAGGTGAATAGGACGTTAACTTTGTTGAACTTCAGTGGCCATACAGTTCTAACTATGCATAGGGGCGGTGGGGTAGTCTAGTGGTTAAAGCGTTGGCTCGTCACGCCGAAGACCCGGGTTCGAATCCCCACATGGGTACAATGAGTGAAGCCCATTTCTGCTGTCCCCCCGCCGTAATATTGCTGGAGTATTGCTAAAAGCGGCGTAAAACCAAAGTCAGTCAGTCAGTCTAACTATGCATACTTTTGGGGAGTACTCGTGAAGAACCAGGTTAGAATTGATCATCAGTAACCACGGATGTTGTGGCGTTTGTCCCATGTGGTGGTTGTAATCCCCGCCCTTGAAGGTCCTGGGCAACCCATGCTTATCGTAAGAGGCGCCTAACGGAATCGGGTGGTCATGCTCGCTGACTTGACTGATACATGTCCCCTTGTCCCAATTGCATAGATTGATGCTCATGCTGTTGATCACTGGATTGTCTGGTCAAGACGCGATTCTTTACAGACTGCCGCTATACAACTGGAATAATCCGGCGTAAAACTGAACTCGCTCACTTTTTATGGGTACGACCAGCCAATGCAGTTACTCGCTATTCAGGCCTCGTTTAGGTCTGACGGCAACCTATGCTCATTGGACCCGGATTTTATCAAGGTTAGTCAGCCGTGCTCGTGGATTGACCGGAAGGATTTGCATAAAACTTATTTCACTACAGTACTGTTCAAGACATATAGCTGTAGAAATGAGATACAACTGAGAACCACATAGTGGTGCAGGAGTGATCAGCCATAATGTTGACTGTTCTGCAACCACACACGCACAACTACATGAAAGATTAAAGAATTGAGTCTGAGCCAATATGAACAGAAGCTTAGTTGTATGGGGGACTAAAAGTTGTGAGCATACAGGAGAAAGATCGGTTAACGAGCCTGTGGCGATTACAATTTGGCCAGTTGATCAATGATGACTATTCTTAAAAAGTGACCATTATTAACGTGTGAAATATATCCCAAGGTAAACTCATCCATTGCTGTTCAGTCCCTGGTTGTTTTGTGGTGGTTTGTAGTCTTGTGCATAGAGCTCAGGTCACAAATCAGATGAAGTTTGATAAGGTTAGGTGCAGAGATTCCTTGAATGGGTGACCCTGTTTGGCAGCTTGACTCTTGTGACTTTTTAGAACATCAGCCCTGCCCCACATGGAGTGAGTGAGTGAATTTAGTTTTACATCACACTCAGAAATATTCCAGCTATATGGCGGCGGTCTGTAAATTATCATGTCTGGACCAGACAATTCAGTGATCAATAGCATGAGCATTGTTCTACGCAATTGGGATAAGATGACGTACAACAGTCAGCGAGCCTGACCACCTGATCCTGTTAGTTGCCTCTTACAAGCATGGGTTACCGAAGATCAATTCTAACCCAGATCTTCACGGGTCCCACATCAAAGAACATGTGATACATGAAGTCTCACCTTAGGCAAGGTTGGTTTGTTCAAACTTGCCTCTGTTCACCCAGCAGAAAATGGGTACCTGATGGGATAAGTCGTGTGACTATTAACCTTCTAGCGACTCACAGGCAGTTTGGGTTATCCTGGGTAATAATAATCAGATTGTGTGTTAGCTTTGAACATGTACATTATGAATGTAAAAGGTGCATTATAAATGCACAATTATTCTTATTATTATAATAAATAGGAATGACTTGAATGTACATACATTAAAATACTGAAGTCAATTCTTAATAGGTCTTAATCATAATCATACCAAGGAATTTGAAGGGAGGAGGAAGTTGTGCACCAGTGTGTGTACGAACGGACCCTCTGTCATGTAACCATCCTTTTGGTCCAATGGAAAAGCCATAGATAGTACGTGAACAGAACATTTAGAAAAAGTGCCAATGTTCATAAAGTTTGGTCTTCACTATGAATACTCATACTCCAGTGAACTGACACAAAGTGAAAGTCAGTTCTTAAATGACTGGGGCGGTGGGGTAGCCTAGTGGATAAAGCGTTGGTTTGTCACACCCGGGTTCGAATCCCACATGGGTACAATGTGTGAAGCCCATTTCTGGCGTCCCCCGCCGTGATGTTGCTGGAATATTGCTAAAAACGCCGTAAAAACCATACTCACTCACTCACTCAAAAGGGATAGTTGTCATTTTAAAACTCAGTCAGTCTTAAATGACTGTGGTTTTGTGTTCTGCACGTCACCAGACAGAAAGACAGCTGATTCATCAGATCATCATCCATTTTGACAGGCGACTACCCAACTTGAACACATCCGATCAACTAATACAAGCCTCCCATTTTCAGTGTAAACATTTTATTAATAAGTTAACATGTTGTATAGTTTCATTTTCAAAGATGAGGCAAAAACCTTAACTTTGCAGTGCAAACATTTTGTTCCCCATTTAAATGAATCTGCAGACAATCCATATCCATTTTTTTCAGTTCTGTTGCAGTCGGAACTCTACAGTTTCACCTCCTGCAAATTGGTAGTTGTCACCTCCCAGTATACAAATGCCTTGCAGAATTCCTGCAATTTTGACAATGGAAGTTTGTGTTTGATAATCATCATCACTTGGGGCCTTTCCCTGATCCTGCAAGAGAGGATGCTTGTGATGGCCTGTTGATAAGTGATCCTTGAGATCTGGAATGAAATAAATATATAGTTTTCTGAGAGTTATGCTTAGTAGCATCCCTGTAATTTTTGTATTTCCTACACCACAAAGCCCCACAGAAGACCTTGATAATGTCCCAGGGTTATTCTTTGGCCAGACTGCCGTAATATAGGTGGAATATTGCTGAGTGCAGCATTAAAATATAACAAACTAAACCTCTTTGCCCTCACATATTGAAAATGTCAAATGTCTGTGGTTACATGTTCTCAAAATATTCAGGCAATTAAAAAAAAAAACTGGTTTAGGTCATAACAAAACCAGTTAAGAATAGGATTTAACGTCTTATTATGTAGTTACAATTTCCATTCCTAAAAGTATGCTTACCCTTCAAGGACAAAAGCTTATATTTCTATGTGTGTTCACAAATCCAATCCAATGAAATGTTGGTACTGTTACCATATGTAAAGGTCATCAGAAGTTGTATTGAATATTAAGACAGCACCATATTACTGTTAGATTATTACAAAACTGTGGCTCTAAACTTTGCTGATGACCTTCACCTGGATGTAAGTTGTGGCACACTACTAGAGTAGAAGCTTACCTTGCTGACGACCTTCACCTTGATGTAAGTTGTGGCACACCACTAGAAGCTTACCTTGCTGACGACCTGCACCTTGATGTAAGTTGTGGCACTTCACTAGAAGCTTACCTTGCTGACGACCTGCACCTTGATGTAAGATGTGGCACACCACTAGAAGCTTACCTTGCTGACGACCTGCACCTTGATGTAAGTTGTGGCACACCACTAGAAGCTTACCTTGCTGACGACCTGCACCTGGATGTAAGTTGTGGCACACCACTAGAAGCTTACCTTGCTGACTGACCTGCACCTGCCTTTGATGTAAGCAGGTGGCCACCACTAGAAGCTTACCTTGCTGACGACCTGCATCTTGATGTAAGTTGTGGCACACCACTAGAAGCTTACCTTGCTGACGACCTGCACCTTGATGTAAGTTGTGGCACACCACTAGAAGCTTACCTTGCTGACGACCTGCACCTGGATGTAAGTTGTGGCACACCACTAGAAGCTTACCTTGCTGACGACCTGCACCTTGATGTAAGTTGTGGCACATCACTAGAAGCTTACCTTGCTGGCTGACGACCTGCACCTTGATGTAAGTTGTGGCACACCACTAGAAGCTTACCTTGCTGATGACCTGCACCTTGATGTAAGTTGTGGCACACCACTAGAAGCTTACCTTGCTGACGACCTGCATCTTGATGTAAGATGTGGCACATCACTAGAAGCTTACCTTGCTGACGACCTGCACCTTGATGTAAGATGTGGCACATCACTAGAAGCTTACCTTGCTGACGACCTGCAGCTTGATGTAAGTTGTGGCACACCACTAGAAGCTTACCTTGCTGACGACACTGGTGGTTTCTTCTTGCCGGCTTGCCCAGTCTGGCCGGCATTCTGAGCCCCTGCAGCTTGTTTTCTTGAAAATAATAAACATCATTGGCTGAATAACCTGTCTAATCCTGGCAATATTCCTTGTATTGTCCTGGGAGATAAAAACATCTAAACCTCTCGTGTCAAACTCATGACAACCTTTCTCTTCATGGGTAGCAATAAAAAAACTGACAATAAAATGATTGTGATAAAATGTTTGTCTAGTTTCTGGGAAAAGTATTTTTTTAAAGTAACTCCTATGTATAAGTGTACTATGGGTTGTGTGACAGTAATGACTAAAATATGGCTACTGGGTATCTATACTACTCAAAACAAGTTAAGGGTCATGCGATCATGTAATGTTAGTGATGAGGCTGGTTGCATTATGTATAAATAACATTTTACATTCTGTGTATGGTAGTTTATTCAAAACCACTGCAGAACCTGGATAAAGGCTGCAGATAACCGTGGTGCCAATAGTCATCATGTGGTAGGGTGTTAAAAAATGAACAAATTGAAACACCGAGTGCTTCACAGAAGCACCACCACTGTGCGTGTGAAAGATGATGTTTCATCATGAACAACATGGGCACGTGTTCTTCGTGGGATTAGTGCTGTGCATGCTTATTTTCCCTATAAAACTTGTAAATGTCGCATTGTTATTGTCACTTGAAATTCAACAATGGCAAGACGTCAACTGAGCATGACAGACATAGGAAGAGCTCTTGCGTGGCTTCAAGATGGCGAACCTCAACGCAGTGTGGCTCAGAGACTAAATGTGAGTCAGAGTGTCATTAGAAGGTTATGGCACCGGTTTCGTGTCACTGGAACGCTGACTAATCGACCACGTTCTGCCAGGCCTCCATCAACAACTCCTAGAAAAGACCGATACCTGACAAATATGGCTCTTCCACAACGCAGAGTAGCTGCCAGACAATTCCGTGACTAACTGAGAACTGCCACAAGTAACCTGGTATCTGATCAGACTCTCAGGAACCGACTGACGAGGAATAATCTTCGGGCACGGTGACCAGCAATACGACCACCGCTCCTTCAGCGACACACCACGGCAAGACATGACTGGTGTAGACGCCATGTTCGTTGGCAGCGTGCTCAGTGGGCATCAGTTCTTTCCTCCGGCGAGTCTAGGTTTACTCTACAGTACATTGATGGCAGAACTTCCGTGTGTATCGGCGCCCAGGAGGGAGGTTTGCTGATGTTAACGCCAACCAACGTTTGCCATTTGGAGGCGGGGGTGTCATGGTTTGGAAGTGCGTTTTCCTTTCATCAAAGGACACCTCTCTATGTCATTAATGGTACCCTGACCGAAATCGCTATCACGGGGAGATTATCAGACCCCTTGTTTTGCAATGTTTACAACGCATACCGGCGCCGGATCCATATTCGAAGGTGGCAATGCCCAACCACACCGTGCCCATGTTGTGACGGACTTTCGTAGACAGAACAATGTTCAGCACATGGAATGCCCGGCATATTCAGCAGATTTAGCCCCTATGGAACATGCTTGGGACGAGTAAGGACGTCGGCTTCGTAACAACCACGCCCCTCCAATCAACCGTGCAGAACTGGCCCAGCATCTCATTGCAGAATGGCAGACAATACCCCAAGCCTTCTTCCAACGACTGGTGAACAGTATGAGACAGAGGTGTACTGCTTGTCTTACTGCTCGAGGTGGTTACATCCGTTATTAGTCCAATGTTGGCATTTGAATTTTCACTTCTGACAGTTGGTCACTTTGACCTTATTGATCAGCAATCACTGACATTCCTGCTGTTTTTGTCTCCCGTTATGGTTATCATGAAATGTTGGCTCGAGTTGTTATATGATCGCTACATTTTATTGTTATATATATTTGTAGTTATGGCCATTAAAAGTTTTGACCCTTAACTTGTTTTGAGTAGTATATATCTCATACAGAAGCTACAGTGTAGGGAGCGACAGCTCCAGACTTACTTCCTATCAGCCCTGGATTTGAAGACTTTGCTTACGTCCAGCGTACTGATCACTACACTTGTGTCTGTGGCTGTCTTCTCTGGATGCATCTCCGTTATTTCTCCATCCACTTCCAGCCTGATGGGAGCATACATGTTGAACCATTGCTGGAGACAGTAGGTACAGATTGTGGCAACATTCACATGGAACCAAGATTAAATGACTAGTTGTGTGACGATTCATCGATACGCATCGATGCATGGGCCGCCGATACAGTGAATCAATACAACGATTTACATTGTTGTATATCCCGATATGATACTTCAAATGAGCCACGATACATTGATGTTTAACTTTTAATATTGCCAAATCGCGATATCTGTCAAGAAAAAAGATTTACTTTTGTTTAAGGATAGAAATATATGCTTACTTATTTTCCCTTCATAGGTAAATGTCTTCTTGGAAATTCTTGCGTCAAGAACTGTGTCAGACATAGCACTCACATGTTTTCAACATTCAACAAGTTCGTGTATAGACTTAATTATCTTGTTTCGAATGAACATTGAACAACGCTGGCAGAATTTGTCATAATACTTTAAAATTGATTTTGTTTTGATCTTAAGGTGTTTTATAGTTGGTGTCAGAATTAAAGATTTTAGTATCATGTTGCCACCTTTACATCGGGATTTGTATCGTATCGCAGCTTCAGTGTACAATACTTTGGCAATATATCGTCGTGACTAAAATTTTAGTATCGTGATATATCATATCTCAGGTTGTATGCCAATACCAGCACTATAAATGACTGCACACATTCACTTTTTAAACAAGAATATCAATCAGAATTTAGGATACTGTTTCTGATTTCATTAATATCAAGTAATCATAAAATATTATCCTCTGAAAATCGTTGGTTCATCCTACCATTTTCTGAGATATTTCAGATTTTCTAATTCTCTCGAACCCACCCACTCAATAATAATCTCTATAATTCATTGTAGGCCTGAGTAGATGAGTATGGTTTTTACGCCTTTTTTCAGCAATATCACTGCAGGGGACACCAGACATGGGTTTCACACATTGTACCCGTGTGGGGAATTGAACCCTGGTCTTCAGTGTGACGAACGGACGCTTTAACCATTTGGCTACCAACCCCCCACACCCTACACCCCCACGAAAACCCCGAAACCTGTGACACAACTTTAGGCTCCTGAGCTCAATGAATGTGTACATGTTTGTATTTAAATGCCACTTTCAAAGTTCCAGGTATATGATGGTGGACTGCAAATGGTCAGACCTCAGTCACATTTAAATCAGACGGCTGGCTCTGATATGATGTTATATACTTTTGTACATCACGTGAACTCTTGGTAAACCAACCCACCAGTCTGAAGGAAGGATGCATGGGCTAGTCACATATCAGTTTCATTGATGAAATGTCTTTACTACCTAAAATTATGACTTTAAAAACAACTCCAAACAACAGGGTGTATTAAACACCCACAATAATGTAATGGCACTGCATATTATTCTACTTTCGAACCTAATGTTTTAGTTTGCTTTTGAGACACTGAAAGCAGAGATTCTGGTACAAAATACTGCTTAATCATACTAAGAATTTAGTTGCTGATTGGCTGAATAAAAGGTTCACCTTACACAACTTTCTATACAAGGGTCCCTTGGTCTTCGCCAGAGAAGAATCACTCTGAAGAATAGATCTGAGTCCCATTCAACAAAGTGACAGCCTTCGGAGTTATGATCACCTTGGCACTATGATAGCTTTGTGGAAATTTGAATGAGATTGACTGAGTCACTGCCTGTTAACAGAGCACACATGGATCTATGAGGAATGAAAGTGGTCCTACTGAGCATACCCTGGCCTGAGCACTGAGCCCGATGTCTGTGAAGGCATACTGCCACTGTGGCAGCCCCAGGTGCATAAGCATGAGGCGGTAGTACTCCAGGAACGATGAGGCCAGGAAGTGCCACCGTCAGGGCACGGTCCAGAAACCAGATCTCCACGGTGGGCTCGCTCACTCCTACAATAAAATATTCAAATATTAGAAGACAAAAGTCTTGTGCAATACACTAATTTTCATCAATACTTGTCAAAAAGATTTATTTGTGAAAAGCATTGTCATTGTAATATATACATAACTTCCTGAAAAGATTTTAGTAGTTTCATCTAATCAGTTTTTGCTGTTAACCTCTACATGGGTTTGGTTGGTATGTACAGGTGTTTCCAGGAGTGTTCAAGTGTGCAGAGGTGTGTCAAGGAGTGTCTAGGTGTGTCTAGCCATGTCCAGGTGTGTCTAGCCATGTCTAGGTGGGTCAGGCAATGACCAGGTGTGTCAAGGCATGTTCTGGTGTGTCAAGCATGTCCAGGTGTGTCAATGCATGTTCTGGTGTGTTAGCTATCTCGAGGTGTGTCTGCAATGTGTAGGTATGTGTTGGTGTCTAGTCATGACTCAGAGTGTCTAGCCATGTCCAGGTGTGTCAGGCCATGTCCAGGTGTGTCAATGCATGTCCTGGTGTGTCAAGGCATGTTCTGTGTGTTAGCTATCTCGAGGTGTGTCTGCAATGTGTAGGTATGTGTTGGTGTCTAGTCATGACTAAGAGTGTCTAGCCATGTCCAGGTGTGTCAATGCATGTCCAGGTGTGTCAATGCATGTCCAGGTGTGTCAAGGCATGTTCTGGTGTGTTAGCTATCTCGAGGTGTGTCTGCAATGTGTAGGTATGTGTTGGTGTCTAGTCATGACTAAGAGTGTCTAGCCATGTCCAGGTGTGTCTAAGCATGTCCATGTGTATCAAGGCGTCCAGGTGTGTCAAGGCATAACCTGGTGTGTCTAGTCATGCCCAGGTTTGTCTAGCCATATCCAGGTTTGTCTAGCCATGTCCAGGTTTGTCTAGCCATGTCCAGGTGTGTCTAGGAGTGTCTAGCCATGTCCGAGTGTGTCAGGCCATGTCCAGGTGTGTCAATGCATGTCCAGGTGTGTCAAGGCATGTTCTGGTGTGTTAGCTATCTCGAGGTGTGTCTGCAATGTGTAGGTATGTGTTGGTGTCTAGTCATGACTAAGAGTGTCTAGCCATGTCCAGGTGTGTCTAAGCATGTCCATGTGTATCAAGGCATCCAGGTGTGTCAAGGCATGTTCTGGTGTGTCTAGTCATGCCCAGGTTTGTCTAGCCATATCCAGGTTTGTCTAGCCAGGTCCAGGTTTGTCTAGCCAGGTCCAGGTTTGTCTAGCCATGTCCAGGTGTTTCTAGCCACGAACAGGTGTTTCAAGGCATGTCCTGGTGTGTCTTGCCATGTCCTGGTTTGTATAGCCGTGTCCAGATGTTTCTAGCCATGAACAGGTTTGTCTAGCCATATTCAGGTCGTCTAGCAATGTCCAGGTGTTTTAGCCATGTCCAGGTTTGTCTAGCCATGTCCAGGTTTGTCTAGCCATGTCCAGGTGTTTCTAGCCATCGCCAGGTTCGTCTAGCCATGTCCAGGTGTTTCTAGCCATCTCCAGGTTTGTCTAGCCATGTACAGGTCGTCTAGCCATGTCCAGGTGTTTCTAGCCATCTCCAGGTTTGTCTAGCCATGTCCAGGTGTGTCTAGCCATGTCCAGGTTTGTCTAGCCATGTCCAGGTGTGTCTAGCCATGTCCAGGTTGTCTAGCCATGTCCAGGTGTTTCTAGCCATCTCCAGGTTTGTCTAGCCATGTCAGGGTGTGTCTTGCCATGTCCTGGTTTGTCTAGCCATGTCCAGGTGTGTCTTGCCATGTCCAGGTGTTTCTAGCCACGAACAGGTGTTTCTAGCCATGTCAGGGTGTGTCTTGCCATGTCCTGGTTTGTCTAGCCATGTCCAGGTGTGTCTTGCCATGTCCAGGTGTTTCTAGCCATGAACAGATGTTTCAAGGCATGTCCTGGTGTGTCAAGGCATGTCCAGGTATATCAAAGTGTATCAAGGCATGTCACCTATGGTGTGTCTAATCATGTCGAGATGTGTCAACGCCCTGGCATGGAGACATGGTAGCTTCTCAATACCATGCTTCTAAACTGTACATCTGCCTGCAAGATATGCATCCTTCAAATAATCAATTACCGAAAGGAATCAAACACCATCATACCCTGAAAGAAACTTACACTGAAACATCTTCATACACTGACACAAACCATGATATACAAGTCAAAAAGCAACATCTTAGAGATACAACATATACAATGTACCTCTGTGACCATCATCAATAGACAAGGGTTCCAGATATTCTATTGCTATGACCAATTTAACTTTTATGATGAAGTTACAATAAAATATTAAACTAATCACAATAAGCATTGAACTGCAAGGTATGTTTTCCCTGAAAATTTATGATGATAACAAAACTTTGTATGTATTATAAAATATATGGCAGTGTAAGGCTGTCCTGCATCTGTCATTAGCCTATATCAAAATAGGGATGTTATGATTATCTAAGAGAATAGATCATACATGGCAAGCACCTGTGTTACTGGAGTCAGCCTGATTCCCTATCTATAATATCAAAGAATGTAACAACAGCAGGGTGAGGATATTACAGATGCAATAAGCCAATGCTGATAATACAAAGGAAGAAGACTCTTAAAATAGATATATATTAAATACACAAAGCAGAAAATGTAATTTTTAGAGTAAAATTGATATTTTATACTTATCCTGACTCATGCTCTTTTTGCTTGTCTTCTTCTTCTTGCGAACATAGTGGAACACTTGTATCTCCCTAATTGAAGCTCCCTTCAATTTAAAATCACTAATTAGTATTCACCACGAGTTACCTCCTTTCCACAAGGGGGAGGCGAGGAGCAGAGCCACCCACCTCTACCCATGTGCCTCACTCTCTCCTCATATACTGAGCCCAACATTTGAATTTACAGGAAATCCAAAGTGTTATTTGGGGAGGATGGGAGGGCTGACCTCATGAGTCAGGATAAGTATAAAATATCAATTTTACTCTAAAAATTACATATTTTTCCTTATCCTGACTCATGCTCTTGCTTGTAGCATCCTACGGAACGGAGGTGGGAATATCTAATACTTTGGATTTTTAATAATTAGTGATTTGAACTGTGATGATTGTAATAACCCTATGGGAACTTCATAAAGGCACTGAACTGATGAATTCCTGCTGCTAACTTATCAGCTGCCATATAAAGGTTATTACCATGTACTTATTATGATAAAGTATATATAACATTAATACAATGCTTAAGACTAATAGACTTAAGCTTGTTAATATGCTAGTATAAACTCCTTAGAGTTTGTTAGCTAAAATACTTTAAGATATAACATAGTACTAAGCTTAAGATATGATTAAACTTAAGCTAATTATATAATAGCAAACTCTTTAGAGTTTGTTAGTTAATATACTTATATGATATAGATATAATGCTGAGCTTAAGATATGAATAAGCTTTAGCTACATATATAATAGCAAAAACTCTGTAGAGTTTGTTAGTTAATATATTTTTATAATATGAGTATAGTACTGTGCTTAAGCTATAATTAACTTAAGCTACATATATAATAGCCAAACTCTGTAGAGTTTGTTAGCTAATATATTTTTATAATATTAGTATAGTACTGAGCTTAAGATATAATTAACTTAAGCTACATATATATAGCAAAACTCTGTAGGGTTTTGTTAGCTAATATATTTTTACAATATGAGTATAGTAGTGTGCTTAAGATATAATTAACTTAAGCTACATATATAATAGCAAAACTCCGTAGAGTTTGTTAGCTAATATATTTTACAATATGAGTATAGTAGTGTGCTTAAGATATAATGAACTTAAGCTACATATATAATAGCAAAACTCCGTAGAGTTTGTTAGCTAATATATTTTACAATATGAGTATAGTATTGTGCTTAAGATATTATTAACTTAAGCTACATATATAATAGCCAAAAAACTCTGTAGAGTTTATTAGCTAATATGTTTATAGTGTAACCATAGTACTAAGCTTAAGATAAGATTAGACTTAAGCTAAATGTATATAGCAAAATAAACTCCTTAGAGTTTATTAACTAATATACTTTTTATGTTAAAAACATAGTACTGAGCTTAAGTTATGATGAAACTTAAGCTATATATATATAATAACAAAACTCCGTCGGGTTTTGTTAGCTAATACCTTTATAATGTAAACATACTGCTTAAGATATGATGAAAACTTAAGCTAATTGTATAATAGCGAAAACAACCCTTTAGAGTTTGTTAGCTATGATATAAACCTAGTATTGAGCTTATGAAGGAAAACTTAAGCTACATATATAATAGCAAGAACTCCGTAGAGTTTGTTAGCTAATACATGTTATAATGTAACCATAAAGCTTAAAATATGATAAAACTTAAGCGAAATATATAATAGCAAAACCCTCTTTTAGAGTTTTGATAGCTAATATACCTATATGATATAAACATAGTACTGCGCTTAAGATATGAATAAGCTTAAGTTACATATATAATAGCTAAAACTCTGTAGAGTTTGTTAGCTAATACATGTTATAATATAACCATATTGCTTAGAAATATGATGATACTTAAGCCAAATAGCAAAAAACTCTTTAGAGTTTGTTAGCTAATCTACTTATATGATATAAACATAGTACTAAGCTTAAGATATGAATAAGCTTAAGCTACCTATATAATAGCAAAACTCCTTAGAGTTTGTTAGCCAATATATTTTAATAATATGAGTATAGTACTATGCTTAAGGTATAATTAGCTTAAGTTACCTATATAATAGTAAAACTCCGTAGAGTTTGTTAGCTTAATTAACTTAAGCTATGTATAAAATAGCCAAAAACTCTGTAGAGTTTGTTAGCTAATGCATTTATCATGTAACCATAGTATTACTCTTAAGATATGAATAACTTAAGGTAAATATATATAATAACAAACTCTGTAGAGTTGTTAACTTATATATTGTATGATGTAATAATCATAGTACTGTGATGATAAAAGGAACTTAAGTAAATTATATATAGCATGAAGCTATTTAGTATTGTTATAAG